CCGTCCAGAGACCCCTGAGCTTAAAATTAATAGGGCTTCAGAAATTGGAGTTGGTGAAGACATGCCTCCAAGAGCCCCTCAGCAGAGGCCTCTAACCGCCAAGAGCCCTCTGCAGATGCCTCAAGCCACCTCAGAGACTGAACTTGAGCCTCCATGGGTGTTTTCTCCTGTTCCCGAGACGGAACCACAGTCGGTGGTCCCTCCAGTTCCAGAGGTGGAACCACAGTCGGTGGTCTCTCCAGTTCCAGAGGTAGAACGACAGTCGGTGGTGTCATCTGTTCCTGAGGTGGAACCACAGCCGATGGTTTCCCCTGTTCCTGATGAAGAGCCACAGTCGGTGGTCTTCTCTTTTCCAGTTGTGGAGCCGCAATCGGCGGGCTCCTCAGTTCCTGTCCAGGAGCCGCAGGTGGCGGTCTCCTGTGGGCCTGTTCCTGGGACGCGGTCGATGGTCCTCCCTGTTCCTGATCCGGAGCCGCAATCGGCGGGCTCCCCTGTTCCTGATCGGGAGCCGCAATCAGCAGCTCCCCTGTTCCAGACCCGGAGCCACAATCGGCAGACTCCCCTGCTCCAGAGCTGCAATCGGCGGGCTCCCCAGTTCCAGACCCGGAGCCGCAATCGGCAGGCTCCCCAGTTCCAGACCCGGAGCCGCAATCGGCGGGCTCCCCTGTTCCAGTCCGAGAGCTGCTATCGGCGGGCTCTCCAGTTCCAGAGCCGCAATCGGTGGGCTCTCCAGTTCCAGACCCGGAACCGCAATCGGCGGGCTTCCTTGACCCAGAGCCGCAATCGGCGGGCTCTCCTGTTCCAGACCCTGTTCCAGAGCCGCAGTTGGCGGTTTCCTCAGAGCCTCCTCCAGAGCCGCAGTCGGCGGTCTCCTCAGAGCCTCCTCCAGAGCCGCAGTCGGCGGTCACTAGTGAGCCTGTTCCTGAGCTGCCGAGGAGGGGACCGGGTACCCCGTGGGGGTACCTGCTGAAGTTTGGGCGTCTTCCTCCTGAGAAGCTGCTTCGCCTTCGGCCCCGCGGCCGGACCCCAGAGCGTCAGCTTCGCCTCCAGTCCCGCGGCAGACCCCCGGAGCATCAGCTTCGCCTCCGGCCCCGCAGCAGACCCCCAGAGCGTCGGCCTCGCCTTTGGCCCCGTGGCAGACCCCCAGAGTGTCAGCTTCACCTCCGACCCCGCAGCCGGCCACCTAAGACTCTGCTCCGTTACCAGATCCTCGGCCGGCCCCCAGAACCTCTGCCATGCCTCCGGCCCGGCGGAGGTCCCCCTAAAACGCTGCTTCGCCTCCGGCCCTGCGGTCGGCCTCCTGAGCATCTGCCTCGCCTCCGTCTCAACGGTCGACCTCCTGAGCAGCTGCTACGCCTCTGCTGCCGGCCTCACGGTAGGCCACCTGAGACTCTGTCCCGCTGCCGGTCCCCCGGCCGGCCACCTGAGACTTTGCCCAAGAAATCTTCTGGGTTTTCTTTTGTTTTCGTCCACCGTAAGTGGATCATTTTCTGTTCTGGACTTTGTTTTTGTTTTTGCCCTCCTGGCCTGTTTTCTCCATCGCCCACTCTGGGTGGGTTGTTTTTTTTTTTCTGGACTCTGTTTTTTGTTCCTGGCCCTCCTTGCCTTAGTGCCCCCTCCGCCCACCCTGGATGGGTTGTTTTTTGTTTTCTGGACTCTGTTTTTTGTTCCTGGCCCTCCTTGCCTTAGTGCCCCCTCCGCCCACCCTGGGTGGGTTGTTTTTTGTTTATTTTTGTTGGACTTTTTCAGGGGGCGTCTGGAATCCGCCCTTGAGGGGGGGGTACTGTTGGGATCCTCAAGCTTGCCCTCCAGAGGGCGGCGAGGATCCTTTTCTGCTCTGTGTTTTTCCCTTAGGGTTGGAGTTACTGTGGGGATCTGGAGACTACCCTCTGTCTCCAGCAGAGTGCGCCGTGGGTCTTCTGGAGCTGGAACCTTCCTGCACACCTGTTGCTAATCCTCTCATCAGAAGACCTCTCCTTTATAAGCTCCTGCCTGACCTTGATTCCACGCCACAGTGTTGATCTTAGTTGGTTAGCTTCCTGAGCCTCTGTTACTAAAGAGTCTTTGTTA